TGATGCAAGCAGACCTCTGAAGCCGAAGAAGCCTCATAGAGACCCCTGCCAGTGCTGAGATGCTCACAACGCCACTGGATCCAAAGACTTTCTACCCACTGGCCTGTGATTGTCCTGCATTTGGTGTCATTGCATGTCTTTCCCAAGTTTGTTTCCTGAGTTGGAAACAACACAATTTTCCATCAACAGACCCTGGATCAAATAACTGTGGTACATACATACAATGGAGCACTAGGCATCACTAAAAAGCATGAAGCATATCGCCACATGGGAATAACTGGAGGAAATTATGCTAAGCGAAGTAAGCCAAGCACAAAAGGACAAGTACAACATAAATTGACTGAAGCAAGCTTAAAAATGAAAAAGGGGCATAGGAAAAAAGCTACTGTATAGATACATTTCTGAGGTGAGGTCCAGGTAGTAATGGCAGGGGCCAGGATGCAATCCAGGGATATATATGGTAGCCAACTAAAAAGGAGGGGAGAGAAAAAAAAGACATGGGTAATGGGGAAACAGGGCACTAACCCACCCAAAGGGAGGGTGTTGTTTAATATCTCCACAGGAGAAAGAGAGAGGGACCAGACTTCAACCCAGTGCACCAAGACACGAATGCAACATAAAAGTGTGAAGCAGGGAACAAATAGCGAGCTCTGAGGGGCTGGCACCAATCCTAACTTCATGGACACTCCCACCCCCACCCCCAGAAGAATTCACTTCAGAGGACAGCACTGAAGCTATAGCTCAGGGAGAGGAACATGTCTGGTCACAGACAGGAGCAAATAAAGAGGGAAGGAAAGAGAGTGGAACACATCCTGGCCCACCAAGCCCCAGGGACAATATTCCTGCTCAGAGCCGTCAAGGCACAGAGAGAATCATAGGGCTGACCCCACCATGAGACAGGACATCCTGCACTGACTCATACACTCCGAGGGACAATACTGGAAGGACAGTATTGTGCCCGATCTGACCTTACCACATGGACGAAATGCTAAGGGTGTGACACAGAACAGCAAGGGGAACAAAGAAATTAAGTACCTGAGGAATACCAAAAATAGTCTTTGGGGTCATGTCATGGCACCAGATCAGACTCTACCAGAAAATACTCCTAAGAGTCAACAAACAGACCTTGAACTATTTATAGGCTTTTTTTTCTCTCTCTCTTTTTTTTTGTTATTTTTGTTTTGTTTTCTTTTGTTGTTTTGTTTTGCTCTGTCTTGTTTTTATGCTTATTATTGTCTATGCATATCTATCTAGATAAGATAAGCAGGATAAACAATTCAGAGGAAAAAGCAACAGGGACATGGGAGAGGGAGAAGTGAGGGGAATAAAGTGGGTGTTAACAAACACAGGGACAAGGGAACAACAAGTGATCTAAAATTGATAGCAAGGAGGGTATAGGATGCCTAGTAGATTGATCGTCATTTGAAACTGAGATGAATTACTGAAACCGAAATAGAGGCCAAATGTGATAGTGGGACAAGATGAAAGTAAAAGAAAATAGAGGAAAGAACTAGGAGGCAAAGGGTTTTTATAGAGGTCTAAATACAGGCATATACATATGTAAATATATTTATATATGAGGATGAGGAAATAGATCTATGTACATATATTTATAGGTTTAGTATTAAGGTGGCAGGCAGACATTGCGAAGGAAGGGGAGTGCAGAGTGGAGACCCAAAGCCCATCTGTAGACAATTGGACATCCCTTTACAGAAGGGTCACAAGGAAGATATGAGCCAGTCAGGGTGCAGTATAGCACTGATGAAACACACAACTTTCCTCTGGTTCTTTAATGCTTCCTCCCCACCACTACCATGACGCCAATTCTACCTTCCAAATCCGGCTAGACCAGAGCATGGACACTGGTACAGATAAGAGCTGGAAACACAGGGAATACAGGACAGATACATCCTTCAGGACCAATATTGAGAGTAGCAATACCAGAAGGGCAAGGGGAAGGTGGGTGGAGAAAGGGGGAACTGATCACAAGATCAATGACCTTGGGGGGGAAAGTCTGGGTCGCTGCAGAGCTGTTCTTTCAAAGCACGGCATGTTTCCACTAGGTGCTCTTTTTCCTGGTCAGTCAGAACCCGAGGCACATATTTTGCAGCCAACCTTCTCATTCCCAAACCTTCAATTAAAATTTGCTGAACCGAGCTCCAAGATAGTCCAGGTAACTTTCCCATCTCTTCGATAGTCTGTCGACAGTCTTCAAGCACAAGTGCATGGATTTTGTTGACATTTTCATCCATTCAGGAAGTGGACAGACATCCAGAATTAGGTTTTCATTAATCAACATTTCACCTTGTTGAAACAAGAAAACCACTCGTACATTTAAATTTTTCCCATAACTCTCCTTCCAAGCTGTGTTCAATATCACAACAGTTTCTGCAGCATTTTTCCTGAGCAGGAAACAAAATTTCACAACGACACACTGTTCTCTTAAATCAGTCATCACAAAAAACGAGGTTCAAGTGAAACTGCTTTTACGAAAAACTCACTTTGACCAGAGAGAACCAACCTTC